GCAAAGTTCCTTGATTATTACGCCGGAATGAGAGTATAGTTCCTAGCCATATCGGCCTATATGGAATGGATTCGAAAACGGTAAAACTCAACTGTTTAACTCTGGGGGAGTTGGAAAATGACCCTATTTTCAAAAATAGTGGAGTGTTCCTTTAAAAGGGGTCATTTGATGCGATTTCAATTTTTCTTTCCCTTTGGAGTGTTACAAGCTCTTGGTGCATAAAGAAGATCTGTAAAGTTGCAAAGACTAAATCTCAAATCCAAAGAGATATTTTTTATAAAAGAGTCAGCCACGCCTACCTAAAACGGCTCGTTCTAACACGCCCCCACATGTCTAGTAAGATTTGACGGTTTTAAGTTCACGAAGAACATTAGAGACGAACGATGGAGGAAAAACTGCCCGAAGATCTGGCGAATCTCTCCGAGCTGGACGAGAAAAGTTTGCTGGAGGTTTTGACTGGACGCTTTACACAGAACCTCATCTATGTGAGTAACGTTAGTTTAAAACGTGTAACATGACCTAAAAGTACCACACATCAGTGTAAAGTCCTGAATTAAACCAGCTGTGTTTTTTTGGAGATGATAAAACAACGAGCTCTTGTTCTCTGGGACAGCTGTTATTCACTGACTGTATGTAAATACGGCTTTATATCACTGAGATATGACTAACTGAGTTTTTATATATTTACAGACCTATATAGGAGACATCTTGGTGGCTATTAACCCATTTAAATATCTTCCAATCTATGAAAAAGAGGTAAGAATGTGTTTCTTTGGCTACTAAGAAGATTTGTGACCAGAAAACATGTAATGTTAATTAAACTGATTTGTCCTGTGCAGGTATCTGAGCGTTATAAGTGCCATGAGAAGAAGTCTTTGCCCCCTCATATATTTGCTGTGGCGGACCGGGCCTATCAGTCCATGCTGGGACGACTGGCCACAGGACCCAAGAACCAGTGTATCGTGATCAGGTTTGTGTTATGATCAAAGTAATTCACCAGAACCAGTGGTTTCTCCAGGAGAGCATGTCTGAGGAGTTTTTTTAGAAACTCTAGATGGTCATATGGTGACATGTGTCAGTACAGTATGAAATTTCTTGCCCAGTCATGTTTGTTTTTTCAGTGAGACATGTAGAAACAAGACCAGCATTCCCTCATATTTTTGACATATCAGATAAAAGTCCTCATGTCTGTTTCATTTAAAAACACAAGCAAAACCTTATTGACACACTGTTATTTATGGAAGCCCGTTTCTGCCACAAGGATGAAAAAATAAAATAATTGTGTTTTTTAAAATCACAAATTTTTTGCAGTGGTGAATTCATATCTCACAATTTTGACTTTTATGCTCAGAATTGTGAGTTTATATTGTGCAATTACTTATGTACTTTGTTAAATTTTCGCCAGAAAATTTCATCAGAATTGCGAGTTTATATATTATTATAATAATGTAAAATGTGTCATGATGAATGGAATTATTTTGTATTTACTTAAAAAAAATTAAAAAAAATTATTATATATATATATATATGTGTGTGTGTGTGTATATGTATATAAATCTTTAGCTTATATTGTTTATTTCTCAAAAAAGTTGCAAGACATAAAATGAGAATTACCAACTTCTTTTCTCACAATTCTGAGTTCTTTTTTTTTCTGCCATGAAATAAAAAAGGTAATTTACTTTTTTTCTCGCAGTTGTTTTGTGTCTCACAATTACGACTTTTCTTCGCAGAATTATGAGATGATTCTGATTTTTTTTTTTTCTCACAATTGCGAGTTTTCTTCTCAGAGCTTCAAGTTAATCCTGAGTTTTATATCTCAGTTCTGAGTTTATATCTTGCAATTATGTATTTATATCTCACTATTCTTACTTTTATATCTCACAATTCTGAGTTGTTTTTTTTTCTCAGAATTGTTAAAAAATGTCAGAATTGTGAGATACAAACTCAGAATTGCGAGAAAAATTCTAAATTGTGAAAAGTCACAATTAAAAAAAAATAAATTAATCCCTTGGCGAAAGCAAGTTTTCATAGTTGTATAAACTTGGGGTTTTAATCCCTAATCTGAGATCAAATTTGAGACTCCTTGAATTTTTAGGCACAGACCTTCAACCTGAGTTGATCTTTTCCAATTATTCAGATTTGGTTTACATTCAAGAGTTAATCAAAATCGGTCTGTTTAAGTATATATCTGTTAAAACTTTCAAACGGTCAGGCAAGCATTCTGAGTTCCTGGATTCCTCCATAACGTAATAGTATAGTTGATAGCTGTACTCTTTGCGGTATCATATTTAAGGTTTTTCCTACGTGCAGCCTTCCTCTGAGACTCTGCACTGCTGCTTTACCATTAGAAAGGTCGACCTTAATGTATTTTTCAGAAATGGAGCCTCACTGTAAATTTCTCACGTATTCTGTGCATTGATAGGGACAGAGCAGTGCTAAAGACCATCAAAAGACAAAAGGTTGGTTTTGCTTTCACAGTCACTGGGCAACAGACTTTCTCTGATCATGTAAACCGTCAATAGAGCTCAATGATCACCCTTAGAAACCATACAGCCGTCCATGAATGAGACCAGTACCAGTGCAGGGAGGCTGATAATCACCCAGACAACTGGGACAGAATGCTTTTAATGTGTACCATGACAAGGCAAGACAACACAACCATAAACGTATGCCTGTGTCATCAGTTATTAATAATGCTGCTATATTTGGAAAGCAGAGCGACGGGTATGATGTTTGATGTTATTGTAGCTCCCAAGACGATATAAATTGACTTTGAAATCAGATCGAAAGTCATGCACTTTTTTGTGAAAAATATTGATTAGTTCCAGACTTTGGATTGTGGGATCATTTTTGGATCATATTGTAAACAATTTTGTATTGTAAAATAAGAATAAATGATATTATATTATTAATATTTTGCATAGGAATGGATATTGAAAATGAAGCCTATTTTTGTACCATTATGATTTTTTTTAATTATTTTCAAGACAATTAGGTCAACTAAACGTGAAATAAAATATACAAAAAAACTAATTAAATTAAAAATAGTTTCTTGTTTCATTTAGTTTTATCTTGATTTACTAAAACAACTAAAACTAAAATGAAAAATAATAAAACAAATTATATAGATATAGTATTTACTTATTTATGTAACTAAATCTGCCACTATTTATATTAATTAAATTTTTCAAAAAGATCAAATATCCGTGTCTGTATTGTTCTTAATTGACATGAAATAAAGTCCAGATATAGTCTTCTTTTGATTCTGGTGTTAAATATGACCTGGACATGTTTTGGTTCTCTTGTATCTTGGCGCACTTGAGTTCCACTTCTGTGGCCTTGTCCCATGACACCAGCGTTTATTTTACTACAACACTAACAGTCTTATTGTAAAATAAGAATAAATGATATTATATTATTAATATTTTGCATAGGAATGGATATTGAAAATGAAGCCTATTTTTGTACCATTATGATTTTTTTTAATTATTTTCAAGACAATTAGGTCAACTAAACGTGAAATAAAATATACAAAAAAACTAATTAAATTAAAAATAGTTTCTTGTTTCATTTAGTTTTATCTTGATTTACTAAAACAACTAAAACTAAAATGAAAAATAATAAAACAAATTATATAGATATATTTAAAAAATGGAAACTAATAATACATTTAATACAAAATTGCTAAAACTGTAACTAAGTTAAAATGAAAATGTAAAAAAATACAACTTTAAGTTCAAATAAAATAGAAAATACAAAAATAAAACGAATAAAAATGTAAAAAAAAAAAAAACATGGAGCTGTGCAAGGCCAACTCACAGCTAGAGCAGCAGATCCTGCAGGTACGGCCCGCCAGATGCGTCTACATTTGAATACAGCCACCAGGTTTGCACAGATTAGGACTGCAATGAGACATGATTTGCCGGCTGCATTCAGGTGGTCGGGTGTTTGATTTACACACAGGAAGCTGAAACTGCGCCCCACCCTCGTGTGTGTGTGTGTGTTAAAGGCACATGTGTGGTTTCTGACATATTCAAATGGTGGGTATATGGGGTGTGTTTAATTTGTTTGTTATAATGTGTTTTTGGGAATGGCTTAAAGAGCCCATGAAGTCAAACTTGGACTTTTGTGGCTTTTAGTCCGTGTCTATTAGTTTTGAGGTCGTCTCAGGGTTTCTGCAGGTCTTAAAAAGGTCTTTAAAAGTCTTAACTCGCCCTTCCACACATTACAGCCTTATAAATGTCTTAAATCAGAGCGGAAAGTCTTAAATTCATAGTTATTGCATTAAATGTTGCATGCGAATATCTTCCTTAGAATTTTTGTTTTCCTTTCCAATACAAATATCTCAACATCCTTAAATCAAGATACATTTACTTAAGATGCAAAATGAAGATATGAAGTCTTGTTTTCTGAGAAATTGCACAAAATTACGTGAGTTTATGCTTAAAACAAGAAAAACAAATGTCAATATGTCAGTATGTCAATAGGGAATGAAAACTTGTTTTTCCTTTGAATTAAGTTGATTTTTCGGAGCAGATATTTGTTCTTATTTTAATCAAACTCAGATTTCTCAGAAAACAAGAGTTGTCTTTTTTTGAGGTTTAATAACATTTGCACTGGAAAACAAGACAATACTGTGAAAGTACATCACTTTTTTTTTTTTTTTACATCAGAAGTACAGTAAAAGTTATTTCAATATCATATACCATATTTTTTGTAAATGATATGATATATGATATTGAAACTTTAAAGTGTTGGTTAATGCAACTTTTATTGACAAATTATGTTCCCTTTAATTTATTTCTTAAAATTTCTTAAAAGGGTCTTTAAAAAGTCTTACCATTCCTTCATAAAACCTAAAGAAACCCTGCATCTTCATGCTAGTGTAAACCTAAAAGATCTAGCAAATATACACATGCAAAACCTTTTTCTTCTAGTAAAATGCTTAACAAAATTGACTACTCATCTTGCAGTTGAGGCATTTTTATCCAATCAAATGCGTTTTAGAATGAGAACACCCACTAATAATAATAATAATAATAATAAATAGCAAATCAGGCTGATTTTTGCATTTACATTTAGTTATTTAGCAGACGCTTTTATCCAAAGCGACTTACAAATGAGGACAATAGAAGCAATCAAAATCAACAAAAGAGCAACGATACGCAAGTGCTATAACCAGTCTCAGTTAGTACACGTAGCAAGGTTTTTTTTTAAATTATATAATAAATAAAAAGAAAACCGATAGAATAGAAAAAGAATAGAGCAAGCTAGTGTTAGAGGCCTTTTTGCTTTTGTTAATTGTATAATAAATAAAAAGATAGAATACAAAAAGAAGCTAGTGTTAGTTTTTTTTTTTTTAAAGCAAAAGGCTCTTTAATACATCCCTCTTAAACTTGGTATAAAAATACTCAAGCGATTTCATGTGGCGTCTGAAAATATGTGGGTGCGACAGCAATATTTTTGAGCATCTGTCTGTAATTTGAGGTCTCTGGTTGGTTTGAGGAACAGATGTGCACGGTAGAGGTTATTTCTGTTTGTTCCTTCAGTACTTCCTGGTTCGGTGTAGTGTTGTGATTTGATAGCAGTTGGCATTGTACTTAATTATAGGCGATTAACCAATACTATAAAACACTTTTCCATGTTCACGCTGAAAGTCATCATCATGTCTGCCACTGCGTCAATGTGAACATTACAAAACACCCAGGTTTCACTGCACACGTCACGTCTTTCACGTTTCAACAGCAGGTTGGCAAATTTGAATCTCGATTGCACAACATAGTTAAAAAAAGGTAAAAAAAAAACCCACAAGGTATAAACTAAACAAGTTTCCTGTGTTGCTTCAGATCACTGACATTATTAGGGCCTTTCGCACCGCGGGAACCTTTTCATAGTACCAGAACTACCGTATTGTCCCGAATATAAGACGATATTTTTTTCTTGGAAATACATCTGAAAAAACGCGGTTGTCTTATATTCAGGGTCTAGACTTTGACATGTCAATAATACACCCACAACAATAGGTGGCGCCAAATACGCATAAAACGAGTGTGCCATGAAATACGTAATGTAATGCGTGTTGTAAATATCGCGAGTAAAAACAAAAGAGAAAGAAAACCTTACAGCTGCATGAGTCGTGACTGTCACGTTAGCCTGATGGGACTCCCTTTGTGATTTTAAAACGTAAGACAGTAACCAGATTTGAAGACTACAGTAAGATTGAACTTCTACTGTTAATAAGATTTTGGTAGGCTACTAT